TCTATGCCTAAACCCTAAACCCCTTCTGAAGCAACATGCGGAACAAACATTGATCATATTCCGGCTTCCATATTACATGCTTAGCACCCTCACAGACAAGACTTCGAACTTAGAGGCGGGGCTCGTGTGCTAAGGCTTCAGCAACCATTAGGCTCCATGTACCTATATAGTATATGGGTTATTGTCCAAATTAGGTTCCCATTTAGGGTCCTTCTTTTTATAAGGGTGCCGTACTATATTGGAGACCCCAAAGGGGGCCCAAATTTTGAGAACTACCCATATACTTAGGCCTTGCAGTAGCCATATAGGAACCCGTTTGATGCCTGAACATTTTCTATATAGGTACACGGGCCACTGGGCAAGCAGCTTTGTTGCAGAAAAGCTGCGGGGCCATGAAGCACTGGTTTGGTTGGGCAAACCACGGAGGACTAGACTTCAAACGCCTGAACGATTGAGCCAACAAGCTAACCGAACTGATGGTTGGAAGAAGGTTTTTGACGAGGAGTGCTGCGAATAACGTTGACCAGAAATTCGCCATCAGGGCGTCGATGAAGTCTTGGACTTTGGGGGATCACCTGTAATCAGCAGATGGCCAAACTAGGCAAGAGCATTGCAGTTCCCGACACGACATGGTTCTGACAAGGGTTCGCTCCACCTCTATTCTGATTCAGGACTCCTGCGCTCGTGTTCTCGAAGGCAACGACGGGGCTTGGGTTAAACCCTATTAGGGTTTAGGGTTTAGGGTTTATGATACAATACAAATCAACCCCTAAACCCTGAACCGACCTGCGCAGTCATGTCAAGGGGATCGAATGTGGGGTCTTGTGACATTTCGAAACGGTTATGGAGTTTTTGACAGTATAAGGATAAGGGGATTTACATGTGCTAGTTCCCTTCAAAAAAAAAACGAAGTACCCACCCAGCAGGAAGCCCCGGAGCCCTAAACCCAACTACGGTTGATGATGATCATGATGATGATGCTGTGATATATATATATATATATATATATGTATATATATATATACACATCCTGCATTACCTATAATGAGGAATATGCCATGATTCCCACAGTTTAGCGTCCTTAAGGTAGTGCAGGATGTATATATCATCAGCAGTAGTAACCTTGCGGATCTCCCAAACTCTACTACGACCCTCATGGATCCCGTCACTACCGCTGAGGAGTCCGTTGCATTATGTTGCATTAGGGTTTAGGGTTTAAGGTTTTTAGGGTTTAGGGTCCCTTATAGCCCCAATATTGGAGGCTTAGCTTAATTACTAGCAAAGGGGGTTCAGGCTCTAGGACACCATAGCTTGCATGAGGAGCCCTAAGGAGTCATGTAGACAATATCGGGGCCTTAATAGTTAGAATACGGCTTTGGGGGCCCATTATACTATATTTAAAATAAGGAACCCCCAAAATGGTATGGGTAATTATTTATATTAATTACAAAGGGATCTGCATTCAACCCTGAAGCAGAACTCTCTGGCAGCTGTGTTTTTTGTGGGAAAACTTCCTCCAACCAACGTCTTGCTCACTTGATCAGCGGGTTCGCGAAGAGGAGCACCTGCGATCTACTACAGCGGCCTTAATCCTTGGATTAGGGTGTGCATGACGATTCTTCGGGCAGTTCATTAGAATGCCTTGATAGTGTTGCAAGCTACAGCTTCTTCACCGTTCATTTAGATCCCAATCTCAATGAACAGGTCGCAAATCTAAACATGCTAGGTCTCTAAACAAACCTTCATGACTTTGCAACAAACTGCTCCAAATTCGGATGCCGGGCAAGGCAGTATGCTACGGGGTAGCTCTGGCGGGCACTGGTTACCAAAACTGCCAACTGCCAACTCGTCGAAAGGCCTTCAAAGGATCAGCTGAGACAAGGCGAATCGCACATTCCCATGTCATCTGCATGCATTCAATGATTGTCTTAGGTCTTAGGTGCGCTGCCCGAGAAGGGCTCAAGGTTTAGGATGAGAAAATACACCAATCCACCAATCTCAGTAAAACGATCGTTCCCACGGTTTCTAAGAGCCGCACCAATGCAATCACGAGACCGTAGATGGTCAAGGACTCCATGAAGGCCAACGACAACAGCCTGTGGTGCTTACTATCGAGGCCGGCAATACTGTCCATGTGGGGGTTTCCGAAAATAGGGGACCCTAATATAGCACCCTAAATAATAGGATCCTTGTTATAAGGACCCCTAAAATGAGGTACCCCTATTTTTTGAAACTCCCATGTTGCTCCTCTAGTGAATGCTCCCTGCAAGTCTGTGCTCCCTGCAAGTCTGTGGCAGCAATGGTTCGAAGCGCAAGCGTCGTCGCCGTCGTCGTCGTAGCAGGATGAGCAATCCGTGGAAGTAAAAGTGTAGCAATCGTTGTCGTAGCAGCAGTAGAAGTAGTCGTCGTCGTCGTCGTAGTAGCCGTCGTTGTGGTCGTAGTAGTAGCAGCAGCAGCAGCAGCAGGAGTAGTAATAGTACTAGTAGTAGTAGTAGTCGTCGTCGTTGTAGTAGTAGTAGTAGTAGTTAGCAGTAGCAACAGCAGCAGAGGAGCAGCAGCATGAAGCTGTCGTCGTCACCGCCGTCGATTTAGGATCCGTAGTGACCCAGAGGAGGCTTAACGAATAACTCGGTTGCAGCGCCAGGTGTGAACCCCTAAACCCTAAACCCTAAAACAGAACTCCTGAAAACGAAGCTCTGACAAGCGACAGCACGCCACGGAGGTCATCTGCAACCTTCGGAAGTCAAATGGTCTCAGCGGTCTTAAGTACTTATAGGGCGGGATACTTGCCCAAACCATAATTCCAATTCCTATAATAGAAACCCTACATTCTACTATATAGGTACTTAGGATCGTTTGGGGAAGTCAACCGGCATGCATGAAGCGAAGCTTCTATGTTGAAGGCGACTAGCAGATTATGACTCGGAGCTACCTTGACCTAATGTAACCTGCTTGTTTGTGGGTCCTTTACAAGTAGATTCTGTATTGTAGATAATAATAATAATAATAACAATAGTAATAATAGTAATATTGCGCCAAAAAACAGGCGGGTTACTTACACTAGTTTAAAGTACAGCGGCTGCTGACTGCAACGGAAGCACGAAACACCGTAAACACCCAAGACGAATGTCACTGGAACTCCGATCGCCCGCAGCCAGGGTTTAGGGTTCAGAGGTCAGGGGTTATGGTTTAGTAGGGCATTGCAAATGCTGCCGAGGCCCGCATGCTTTAGCCACAGTTGGGAGATTCGGAAAACTAGGGTACCTTCTCTAGCGTACCCTGTCTAAGATGTTAAATATGTGCGTATATATACAATGCATGTCCACACGTGTACAGGTTCTCATACAGAGATAGAGAGAGAGAGAGAGAGAAAAAGAGATATAACAAAATATGTATATATAAAAATATACATGTTACATATTTGTGTGTATTATACAAGGTATGCATGTGTACAAAACGGAAGTAGAGGCACATGCATGATGAATAAGTAGTTAGACAAATAGTTAAAACACACCAAACAGCCAATGTAACAAGCTGTAACATACATATGCAGTGCTATTGCAATATCCGTGTTGCCCGGCGGATATCCACGAAATGACCGTTGCAGGGCTTTGGGGGCTTCGGGCTTATATGGGGAGTTGGGCATTGAGGGATCTGAGCTGCGGAAGGTGTTGCGGCCATGGAGACCACTCCGATAGTTGGCAGTTTAGGGTTTTAGGGTTTAGGGTTTGCCTTAGGGTTTAGGGGTTTAAGGTTCAGGGCTTAGGGGTTCAGGGTTTAGGCTCCGCAGCAGGAGCCACTGGGAAATGACACCGCGAACGGTTTGCTTGTTGCCAACTTCGATGACCATCAGATGGGTCGTTTTCCAAATCAAGGGTCCCTTTTTCAAAGGGTTCCGTACGATTCTCGGGACCTAAACCCTAAACCCTAAACCCGCACGCACCCTAAAGTAAAGAACTGCCCATATCCCCTCTGCCTGGTTCCTCTACACCCTCAACCTGAATCCTGGTATCCTAAGTCCCCAAGCCCCCCAACCCCCAGAAACACTTAAGGTTCAGGGTTTGGGTTTAGGGTTTCGGGTTTAAGGTTCAGGGTTTAGGGTTTAGGGTTTATGGTTGAAGGTTCAGGGTTTAGGGTTTAGGGTTTATGGTTTAGGGTTTAAGCTTTAGGGTTAACCCTAAACCCTAAACCCTAGCCCTGATCAGAAAAGCCCCAGACTCAAAGTCGGTGAAGCCATGACTCCTCCAGTCCCCCGAGGCTTTTCCAGGGTTTAGGGTTTAGGGTTCAGGGTTTAGGGTTTAGGGTTTAGGGTTTAGGGTTTAGGGTTTAGGGTTTAAGGTTCAGGGTTCAGGGTTTAGGGCTTAGGGCTGAGCTCAGGGAACTCAGGATTAGCCTTTGGGATCATGTAGGGGTTATAGAGGCCCCAAGAAGGCTAAAGGTTACCTACTCTGCTATTGACCAAACCCCAAAAAGGTTAAAGGTTACCGACTCTACTGCTAAGTTAACCCTAAACCCCCAAACCCCAAACCGAAACCCTAACCCCAAACCCCTTAACCCTAAACCCTGAACCCTAAACCCTAAACCCTGAACCCTAAACCCTAAACCCTAAACCCTAAACCCTAAACCCTAAATCCTGAACCCTAACTGCTAGGGCGTAGGATTTCCAGTTTGAAGGCCTCCGGCTGCCGGGAGATCCCGTCAATGCAGCGCCCGCTGGCAATGCCCTGATGGAACTAGGGGTTTAGGGTTTAGGGGTTTAGGGTTTAGGTTTAAGGGTTTAGGGTTTAGGGGTTTAGGTTTAAGGGTTCAGGGTTTAGGGGTTTAGGGGCTAAGGGTTTAGGGTTACGAGATGGAGTGGAAA